TTATTATTATTATTATTATTATTATTATTATTATGTGCCATATCACATCATTGATTATTGTGATAAACTATCTACACTAAATAATATCATACTCGACAGCTAAAATCTATATAAATAACTCATAAAAATTAAAAAAATATTGATTATAAAAATCACTACATTTAACTATAAATTTTCTATGGAGATTACAAAATCTTTATGTTAACAAATTCAAGAAAAATCATATAGTTAAAACAAAATGCAATTGCAAGAAAATAATATTGATAAGTCTTATAAGAATTATTCTTGTGTAAATTAAAATATAATTTGTATAATTCATGAGTACACGAATAAATATATTAACATTTGCTACAAAATTTTGTTTATTTATTTGAGCTGTGTAAACTACTTTAAAAAAAAATAAACAGTCTAATTTATGAATTTCAATCATATTGTATTCTTGAACAACATTATTATTATAATTGTCACACAAATTCATAAATTATTAACCGTCTAATATTTAAATAAATTCTTAAAATAATATTATTGTTAATGATTTTTAAGTGAGTCAACTTCAAGCTTAAAAAGATAATTAAGTTCTATATAAGTAATGTACATGTTAACACGAATACAATAAATCATCATCTTAATAATATTTATATTAAGGTTTAGCTTTTAATTTTTTTTTTTTTTTTTTAATTATTATTATTTGAATGAAAATTATTGAATAATAAAAATACAAATTTAATATAAATTCTAACTTCCAAATTTTTCTACGATAGGGTTATCTTATATCACACAATTATTTTTCCCAGTTCTATTGAAAGCTAAGTAAAATACTATTTAGGATCATAAATATAAGTTATGATTACAATTTAATTCAAAATTTATACTTAAAAAAAATATATGGTAATAGTAATATTCTTTTTATATTGCTATTATTATATTTTTTTATTTTTTTTAATTTTTTTTTAATTTATTTATTTATTTTTTTTTTTTTATGTTCTTTTTATCTTGTAAAACATAAAATTATGTACAATTACAAACTAACATTAATAATAGTAAATATTAAGCACAATAACATTTAATTAAATATATAACACAGTTAAACAAAGATTTTTATTGATTTAATGGTTCGATCATAGGTCACTACTGATTATGTTGATTCTGAAAGAAATTTTATTAAACGTTATCATTTAATGAACGATTGTGTGATCCAAGATAAGTTGGTTAAATTTTAATTTTAAAGTTATATAGCTATAAAATATGTATGAAAATATATTATTATGTTATGAAATAAAAACAAAATAATAATACAAATAAAATATTTGTAAACATATCAATTTTAAATTAAAATACAGTGTGAACAATGTAATATTTACTGTTTACCCGTATATGATGAAATTTTAGCCATTAAATATTGTATACTATTTATTTTATTTACTTTGACTATTTAACTCCAAACATTGATATAAATTTAAAACAATATTATTAAATAATTATCGACAAACCGTTTAGTTAAAAAACCTTATAGGAACGTAAGTTAATAATCCTAACCGTCTAATATAAGAGCGTATAATTAAACACGCTCGCGTTTTCTTCGCACGCGAATATAATTTACGATACTCCAGGTACAATCACTAGGTACCCACTGCATACCAATCTCACTAGATGTAACTAAGTAGAAGTCAATTTAAAAAGCATACTCGATTGCCATTGTTATAATAATGATATTAGACACTCCAACAATAATACGGTTTTTATATATTTTTATATGTTAACTTATAGTCGCGTTTTTAGTCTTGGCAAGAACGGTTTTTATAACTTTTATCACCATTTGCAATCGACCGATTAATAAAACGACCGAATTCGTCGTCAAATAACGGTCGGTATGTATGAGGTCTTTTTTTTTTTTTATCTACGTTTGAAGTTCCTATAATAAAATCGATGTAACTGTGCTTATCCATAGTAAATATATTTGTATATGTTTATATGTTTGACGAAAACGTTTGTCATTTCATTTGAACGGAGTTACTCAGAGCTTGTTGGATTTCTAAAGTTAAATGAATCGTTCATGAATTCACATAATACGCATACATCTATATGTAATAAAAGTATCTACCTACCTTTGCCTGATAATGTGTATTGTACTATAACGTATCCATTATCGAACGAATGTGATATTTTCACATAGACATTGCGATGTAATACATGGTTATAGTATGACATAAATTATACTTTTATTTTATTATAGCAACATTGTAAACGTATGCTCACCAAATGTAAAGTGTATAAAAACGAACACGTAAGGTACTTATCTAGAGAAAAAAAAGTTATTACGTTCCAAGTCTTAGGTTACTAGCTTTTACTATAGTGGTTTAAATAGATTTAGTTAAGCTAATTCAGAAAACTATTATTATTAAAAACGTTTTCAATGAAAGACAATACATATCAGCGAAACAATGCTGTAGTATTGTCATAAATAATTACAATAAAACTGTTAGTTTATTATGATTATTAATAGCAGAAGGAAAATAACAGTGTGAATTTTCTTATTCATATTAAATTCGTAATACTTTTACCAGTATAATTCTATTGTATAATATAATCTGGCATACATACATAACATATAAAATCTTAATATTCCTAAATTGTTGATATGTATTTATATATATATATATTACAAACCTATCTAGAAAGTGTTATTTAAAATAATAAGGACTTTTCAAGAACTTTATGTTCCTAAGTAAAATTAAAATTTAATTTATGATTTACAAGACTGAATTCATATAGAAGAAAAAATAAAAGCAGTTGCCTTTGACCGGCTCTAGACAAATTGCATACTTTCTTTAGAATCCCCGAGGACTTCCTAAGGATCTTGGCATTTCTATACCTCATTTTTTTTTTTGAAATTGGCAATAAACCCTACCGTTGGGAACACCGTGAGATAGTACTTCAAGTGGCAGGTATTATTTTGCACCTCCTCCTACTGTTAATTATGTTATTATTAGAGTAAGACTTCAATGCATTTTAAAATTTTATTCTAGAACGCTTATAATCATATGATAATTATAGTCTGTAATTTTTGTGGCCACCACTTTTACGTGCGATCTACCGATTTTAATTATTTTGTATACCTAATATACTGATCATAAATAAAAATAAATAAACTACTTGTTTTTTTGTATTGTCAAAAATGGTTCTACATCATAAGATAGCTTGTAATATAATATAAATGTAAATAAGAAAATAAAAATAATAAATTAAAATAAAAAAATAAATAAAGAAAATAATAATTAATAAATTTCATCATTTATACTATTTTATTGAAAGATAACATAGTTGATATCTAAAATTTGTTTTGGTGAATATTTTTGAAAATATATAATTCACTGGGCATGTAGGTACATAGGTTAATTTGAAATCTGCGAGTGTACTTGAAAGACCATAATTAATAATATTCGATAAATTTAATGTATTACGTAATGTTTATTGCCACTGCTTAAGATTCACAACAGACCACGTGTAATGCGCACTTTATACGTGTATGCATTGACAATTAATTTTGCTGGGCGCCAATTTGTAGTTGTATTAACAACAAATAACTAAATATAACATACTGTATAATAATAATTTCTTACGTTTTTTTAGATTATACCATTAACAATGTTTTTCTTTTTATATACATATAACATGAAATAATAATAATTAATATTGTTGATATTTGATCGATTTAAGAATATAAACAAAATATCGCGGATGTATAACACGAAAATCCCATTCACAATTAGATATATATATATTTACTCACTGAAGTACCAACTACCACAAAATTATACTACAACTGGTTGGTGAATGATATTCGCAATAGTCCAGGCGGCACGGCGCACTCGTATTCGGTGGCGGCTGCACTGATAAAACGGCCAAATCTTTCTGTAAGCCACTCATGATTTGTGTATTGTCTGTGTACACTGGGACATATCTGGTCAATGAGAGCATCTTGCGAATAAATGATTGTGCAGAAATCGTTCGGTAATTTTATACATCCCGTTTTATCTGTAGTAACTTTCCCATCTCCAATATCTAACAATTGTTTTGAGAATCTTTTGCACGCAGCTTTTTTTGATTGAATCGAAATCGAAGTATCGAAATCGTTCGCTATCTATCTTTATATATATTTCGACCATGAATTGTTGACAAAGCTTATGCATCGTAAAATAACTTAGTCCTGATCGCGTCTAATCATCAACTGATATGCATAATAATTTTTTGAACTAACATTCTTATTTGTTTTGGCACCTGTTGCGGGATCTTTTTGTTTAATATTTATGCAATACCCGTCATTTACTACCAAAAATAAAATTAAGTTTTTAAATAGTTTTTAATAGTTTTTTAATAATTTTTTAATAGTTTTATTTAATATGATTCATTTTCAATGGTCATTTTTCAACCTGGTCAATAAATATTAAACCGATTTCAATGGTCATTTTTCAACCTGGTCAAAAAATATTAAACCGATTTCAACCCTTTAAATTCAAAATTTTGAAAAATCCTTTCTTAGCGCACGTCTAAATCATAATAGCTATCTGTATGCCAAATTTCAGCAAAATCCGTCCAATGGTTTGAGCTGTGCGTTGATAGCAGTCAATCAGCTTACTGTTTTATATATACAGATATTATGATATAATATTATACTTAATTATGATTTTATATTATTTTTAAACTAGATATTATGATTAACGTTGTGCTTGCTAATATTTGTATTTGACGAAAAAAAAAATGCGTTTTATTGTGTAGACTTTTCCAAAGATAGCAATACCATGTAATCGTGATAGTTTTGTTCATGATGTTGATTTCGTTTGATTCATGAACATTGTTTTTTTTTATATATACCATAATCATTCATTAGCTGGTGCCCGGTAGTGTTGTTGAGACGTAAATGAATCGGAAACAAAACAATTAAAACGAAAGATTAAAAATAATATATAAAATATAAAAAAAAATCAAATGTCTGTTCACAGAAACGTTACGGAAGTACCCGCTGGTGGCCGTGGTGCGACGATTGACCACGAAATCATACGTCGTGCCTGACGGTGGCCAATCTGTGCTAGAACCGGGCACGCTGGTCGCGGTGCCCGTACACGCGTTCCACCACGACCAGACACACTTTACCGCGCCGGAAATGTTCCTGCCGGACCGGTTCCCCGGGCAACTGTCGTCCGCATACATGCCCTACGGCAGCGGTCTGCGGTCCCACATCGGTGAGCCAAGTCATATATTCTATTTTACCGTTTCGCGTTATCTGCTCCAGGCGCGCGCGCTTTACACGTGACCCCTACACGCGCAAATGCTGCCCATGAAATATTCCACTGGAATCTATACCGGTAAATATTTGTATTTTCGTCTGTCCCTTCCTGGGGACGTCTACATCGGCCGGAGGTGCGATTTTAAAATTGTCACCACAAAAAAAACACCGTCGTCGATCACGATAAATATTATAATTTTGGTACTATCGATAAAAATCAATACACACCATCGATAAAATAAAAATAAAAAAATCCGAAGACTATATGACTGAATAGGAGTACGATTCAGTGTCCGCGAAACGGAAAGACAAAATTTCAGCTTGTCATGTTCCGGGGGGAGTTGGAGAGGGAGCAATTGTAAGGTAAGGAAAGTCAGGGTACTCAAACAATATATTTAATTTAGTTGTAGCTTATAATTATTATTGTTGAAAATGAGAAATATTATTTCTGTATGCAAGACTATGATATTATTTTCACATCGAACGATTGTATCGATAGTAAATACTTATCAAAGAACTTAATCGATAAAAATTGATCGATATATTGTTAACATTCCTATGTCGATCCATATCCTAAATATTTGTCGCGCACGAGTGCAGTGACGTAATTTCATTTTTTTACTAGAGCAGAGCAGTCTTTTTTCTTATTAATTTGTCGATTCATTCACAAAATACCAATTGATGAGAATGAAGGGGGACGTCTAACCAGTCCAAAAATATAATAATTTATACTTTGTGCATAATTACCCATATAGTATGCTCATTTATTTTCCTGATTTACAACATTTCAATGTCTTTATAAAAGATGTATTTATATTTAATGATGTACCCACTTTGGAATAGCTAAACTCTTGACTGTGGAAAACGCATTATAATTATAATTAAAAAAAATTAAATAATAAAAATATTGAAAGTAATAAGAAAAAACTTATCTTTTTATAAAAAATTTGATTTAATATAAAACTATAATATAAATTATTTAAAAATTGAAGATGTATAAATAATGTATTTATAGATATGCATCTAAAAATAAATTATAAAAATTATAAAAATATATATTAATATATATTAATACTCAGAAATCAATTCTTTCGGTATAAGATATCGATTTTTATTTGAAAAACGATAAACTATGTCATATCTATATATTTCATAAGCCAAATCTTTTTCAATATTTATTATAAAAAGATCCATTCGACTTCCGTTAGTTCGATAACATTGAAAGGTACCACAGAATTAATAGCAATAAAACTAATTCTTATACAAGATTCATATGAAATATTATTTTTTAATAGAACATATTTTTCAAATTTGTTAATATAAATCTTCTGATATTATACTATAATACAGTATAATAAATGTAATTAAATTTATACCACCAAAATCATTAGTTTAACAATAGTAAGCAGTTTTAAGCTGCTTAGCATACATTAAACATTTTGCTAAAGCAACAAAATCTATTACAATAGTCATTCTTTTAAACGAAACACAAAATGGTGGAAAAAGAACAAAAGCTGTGGTGAGCCTCTGCTGATTTTCTTAAAATCTTATTTATTCCAGTGTAATTTCCGAAATTAATTTAGATTATTAATAATAGTATTACAGTTAATTTAAAAATTATATGCTTTACTGATTATTTTCACTAGCAAATTCAGCTCATAGAAATATTTAAATTTATTTTAAAACACCAGTATAATATTATAAATCATAATAAAATTTTGCATATAAATAAAATATAATATATATCTCAAATAGTTATACACTGATAATACGACAACTTTCGCTATAATGCGAGTAATTTTAAAATATATATAATTATATAATACCGTGGGAAATATTGCAACGAGTGCAAGCGTACCATTTTAAACATCAAAAAATAAACTTTGAGTCCGATATTTTTTATAAACATAACAGTCTACCAACATGCGTGCATACAGACAATATACACAATTACACAAATGAAACGAAAACACCTTGTTAGATCGATTTTTATTCGAATAAAGATGAAACAATTGTTTTTTCTTTCAAGTAATTCTACCAAATCACTTTACATCTAATTTGTATTTTGGTTATAATTACAGCCGTTTTCGAATGATAATTGTAGTTATTATTATTCTAATTTGCATCTTAATTAACTTTAAAGTACTTCGGTAAATTTGATTCGTTCATCTACACGTTACTACGTAAATATAACAAAGTAAGCATTTCGATATTATTATACATTGCTATATGGGAAAATACTGTAAATCAATTGTAATAATAATGATAACTACGAGTGCAGCAGTGCAGACGAATGTGTCAAAGGAAAAATACTTGTCGATGACCTCGGCTGCATAACTCGTCTTGACAACTGGAACTCGGTGAAGTGTGCAGAATGTTAGGAGTGTTTTTTTAAGAGCTTTTACTATGACATTGTATAGAAATGTAAGCATATACATAATAATTCATAGTTATGCGAGTATATTTATATTTGTAACATTGTTCATGTTGACCCGTTTCCCGTAATTTCTGTGTTTCATTGTATATTCATAGAGAAACATATTTTTATAATTATATTTTTAAAATGTCAACTATAAACATATTTTTTTTCAATGTTTAATAAATATGTCTACCTTTGTAAACTGATATAGAAACAAAATAATTCTTTTTTTATGTTACTCGTAAAAAAAATCGGTAGTACTTTCTTCCTATAGCTATAAATAAACAAAAACAAATATTCCGATGTTTATCAATATTTTGTTTATTATTATCTTTATATAATTGCCTGTTGTTCGTTATATTTTTGAAATAAGTATACTAATCGCATTGATATGTATTATATCAGTTTTCAAATAATTAGTTATACAACATTTTTACTATTTGCCATTCTTCTGTTGTAATTTAAATAATATATAAGATTTTTTACGTAAATAAAATGTCAAATAACCCAAGAAGTTCATGTTTTTTAAGTTTTCTACTACGAAATACCTTAAGTTGCTGTAACCCTTTATTTTATGAGATCATTTTTATTTACAAAACTCATGAAAAACATGCTAATTAGGAAATATATTCAACTTTTGTTTAAGCAGTAGTAATGATAATAAACATATTGAACTTATATTTAACTTACTCACAATTACATTCTTCTAGAATTTAAATACAAATTATAAAACTCTTATAAAAACCATCTTTGTTTTAAATTTAAATTGTAAAAGACTACAACAAATAAATAAATCACTTGCCCAAGTAGGGTTGATCGATTGTTAAAACACTGTAATTTTAAAATAAATGCTAGTCGAATAAAATACAGAAAATGCGTTCCAATCTGTTTAACACCATTTAAAAAAAGCTTTTTGAGAAAAGTCTTTTCTAAGAAAATGTAATTATTTTTGGCTACAACACTTCTAACCATAAATTTATCTTACAATTAGATTAAACGTTAAATTTCTATTATAAAATCTAGATAGACAATATTATTATTTAAAATGTAGCCAATATATTTGAATAAAAATATATATCATTTCATAATAATTTTCTAGTATGTAGGGTGTATTACTTTTTAAAACAAACAAATATTAATATTTAAAAACATATATTTTATCATAATAATTATTATTTTATGTTCACTCCATTTCAAAAATCTAATATTTATTTATTTTTATATACAACACGTTTTTATTATTTATATATTTAAAAATTTATATACGTATATATAATTTTTTTAACAATTACATATTGGTCATTTTTAATTTTTCAAAATATAATTAATAATTTAATAAAATAATATTTGATAAATTATTTATCGGTTAAATATAAAAGCATTAAAATGTATATAAACTTGATTAGTAACCTTTAAAACTTATGTATCTACCTACAATTTTCCCCTTGAACTAATACTTGAAATAAATATAATTTCATTAGAAAATATTTCCCACATCGATATTTAATATGAAAACCCTTTTATATTGTGTAATAGATACCAAGTGCATACATACTATTAAGCATAAATAAATACTTTCTCGTATATCTAAGCAATACAATATGAATTTCTGATTGTTTGAATTTGTAGAAAACCATAATACAATTTAATCTGCCGAGACTTTGATAATATTCATAATACAGAAAAAAATTGTTAATGTTGCAACCATATTGAAAAAACCCATTTAAATTTTTTTTATTTTATATTAATGTATTTACTAAATATTAAAATTCAAAATTCTTATAGTTACGCTTTGATTTAAATACATACACATTATGTTTCGTTTGAATAAACTATATAATAGAAACCTCTAAAAAGTGATAAAAGTCATCATCAAAGTGAAGATATTTCGATTAGATTTAATAATATTAACGATGAACATCAAATTCACATACGCAGAATTAAAACTTTTGTATAGATATGTAAAAACAAAATATAAAAAAAAAAAAACGTAGTATGAACATAATGCAAGTGTATAGCTAGAGTAATGTTTTTTTTTTTTTTTTTTTTTGGTATAGAAAATTACAATCTGTGAAGTGTTACACAATAAGCAATTATGATAATAAAAGTACAACAGTGACATGAAAACTTGAATAGGAAGTGGCCCACTGGCCACACCTACAATATTACTTACTATTTGTTATTTACAATTTTTTTTTTTTTTTATTAACACCCGTATTACAATAACACAGGATCTAGTAGGTCACGAGGCCAGTCCCTGTTAAGGCAGCGAGTGATATTATTTGGAATTGTTGTGGTGGACATTTGATGAATTAGTGGATTAGGATGATCTTTTAGTTTGTTGTGGAATTTTTTGTAATGGTTAGTTGCTAGTTTTTTGACAGTTGGTAGTTGAATGTCTTTATGAAGATTTTGATTTGTAAAGTACCAGGGTGCATTTGTGATGATTCTTAGAGCTATTGATTGGAAAGATTGTAATGGTCTAATATTAGATGGTTTGGCAGGTCCCCATATTTGTATCCCGTACGACCAAACTGGTCTGATTAAACTTTTGTATATGAGCATTTTATTTGCTAGGCTGATTTTAGATTTAAGGATGGGACGAAGTAAATGTAGCCGGATATTTGCTTGTTTACGTTTAGATTTTGTGTGGTGTGACCATGTCAATATTTTGTCTAATGTTATGCCCAGGTACTTTGTCGAAGACTGGATTGGGATACATGTGCCATTTAGAATAAGAGGAGGAATTTCGTTACGTCTTAATGTGAAATTAATTTGTACCGATTTAGTCTCATTGATTTTTATCCTCCAATTGTTGGCCCAGGTAGTTATGAGATTTAAGTGTGATTGTATATATTCAGAAGCTACATTTGCATCAGAGCTCGAAGCTAGGATTGCCGTATCGTTGGCGTAAGTTGCAAGAATAGTATTGTTGGTTGATGGAATGTCCGAAGTGTATACGTTGTAAAGTAGGGACGATAAATCACTTCCTTGAGGGACACCAGCTTCAATTGAGCGTGAAATGGAGATGTTGTTATTAATACGTACGGAGATGATCTATTTTCTAAGTAGGATTTTAAGATAAGATAATAAGGTGCAGGTAGAAAATGTTTGAGCTTAAAGAGTAGGCCATCATGTCACACTCGGTCGAATGCTTGGGAGATATCGAGGAAGACTCTTGGACAGAATTGTTTTTTCTCAAAAGAGGTAGATATGTGATCAGTTATTCTGTGTATTTGGTGGATAGTGTTATGTTTAGTATGGAAACCGAATTAAGTTGCTGGCAGTATTTTATTTTCGTGGATAATGGTTGTAATACGTTTTAATAGTAGTTTCTCGAATAATTTACCAAATGTAGGTAACAGGCTAATTGGTTGATAGGATGTAACTAATTGCTTGGGTTTGTTTGATTTGGAAATCATGACGATAATTGAGTGTTTCCATGTTGAAGGGAAATGTGATAGTCTCAGCATGGCATTGAAAATATGAGTTAACAGAAGTATTGATTTTTTTGTAAGATATTTAGATATTTTATTTGTGATTAAATCGTGACCTGGGGATTTTTTTGAGTGTAATTTGTTAATTGTTGAGAGTATTTCAGATGGAGTGATTGGTTTGGCTAGTAGCGATGTTGGTAGTGGTGCATACAAAAAATAATGAACTGTGTTTTCATGGTTACTGTTTATTAGAGTGGGAGGATGTGGAGTGAAAGTTTCAGATAGCTGGTTTCCAAAGATATTTGCTTTTTCAATGTCGGATGTTGCTAATTCGTTGTTTGGGCATACAAGTGGAGGTATAGCGTCACGTTGGATTATTAATGCTTTGGTGGTACGCCAGATCGAGCCATCAGATGGAGTTAGAGATTGTAGATGCGATTCAAATTTAGTGGATCTATGTTTGGATAGTTCAGTTTTTAGAGTATTTGTTAGCTGGTTAAATACGATTTTGTCAATTGGGTATCTTGAGTTTTGCCAGGTAGCTCTAGCTCTACGCTTGGCTTTTATTAGTTCTATAATGTAGATTGGAAGTGTGTTCAATTTTTTCTTTTGATTTGAAGGATTTGGAGTAACTGAAGATGAGGACGAAGAGATTGAGTTTTGAATAACAGTAGTTAATTGGTTTACTGCGTTATTTATTTGAGCGTGTATTTTTAATGGGATGTTTAGTGATATTTGTTTATCTAAATTATGTTGAAACTGATCCCAATTAGTGGGACCAGAGCTGAGAGTCTGTCTGGTGTTGAGTTCTGGTACTGCCTCACAGGTTAGAAGTACTGGAGTATGATCACTAGATAGCTCATTTAAGTTTTTAATGTGTGTATTGAGATGTCTCGGAATTTTTGTTAAGAAAAAATCTAATACATCAGGTAGTCTATTCGCTTGGGGTGGCCAATAGGTGGGCGTATCAGGAGAAATAAAAGTGATATTGTTTTTAAAAATAGAATTGTGTAGTATTCGTCCACGCGTGTTCGTGTATCGACTACCCCAATTGATATGTTTCGAGTTAAAATCGCCGCCAATGATAAAAGAGCTACCTAGCTTTTGAAAAAACGATTGTAGTTTAGGTTCTGACATTTGCTGGCTTTGGTAGCTTACAAAATTGTTACGTTTGGGGGGAGGGAAATAGAGGGATGATATAGTTATAGAAATACAGTTGTTGAAATTTATTGATATATTTGCAGCTTGTAGATATGGTTTATTTATGATTTGGAGTTCGGTGTAAAGGATTGAAGATTTGATTAAGATAGCTGCACCCACGTGCGCTGTTTTGTCAGGATGATCTGCACGAGAGTAATGTTTTATTAAAAAAATGCACATTAAGTTTATAAAGTATATTTTCTACTTTTTCAAAGTTTAGAAACTCGATTTCACGTGTTATATTTTTTAAATTATAATTTAAGTTAGGTAACGACTAATGTAATTAATTAATTTTTAAAATTGAACATTACGTAGTATACACGCATATTTCCCATTCGCTGTAAACATAAGTACCTTTTAAAAACTTTGAGATTTTAACGCCACGATTTATGGTTTTTCAAGTTTATAACTGTTGGTTTGTAAATGACGAATGAAACACAGACATTTTAAAAATCTGGATATTTAGTAATAAACTTAGAATTCTTACGGTTTTTATTGCATTTAATCCTACAAAAATCTCTCTGAGAGTTCGTTTGATTTCGAATCGTTAAGAAATGTATAATATAACGTTTCGAATAGTGCGCTCAGAATCTAGAGAACAACTTAAAATGTATTAGCATAATTCTGATTATAATGATCATTATAATAATAATAATTATTATTATTATCACTTATTATCATGCGATCGTCATTGTTACTATTGTTTATTTTTATTGTGCCATTGACATTTTTGGTCCTCAACGTAACACCTTTGTTGCAGGAAAACATTTCGTGGCAGTAGAAGTCAAGCTCATTATAGCCATGCTGGTATCGCGGTATGCAATACATGTAGACAGTGATGAACCAGGTCGGTCGCCCGATCCTTTCGACCGGACGTCGTTTGCCGGCGTGCGCGTGAAGCTGACTAACCATAACGGAGTTAAAGAACCGGCTATGTACGAATCGTTGCGAAAATGTCATAGGGGCAACAAGAAATTCCTACTGTTTCGATGACCACAACATGACTAACCACGAATTTTTTTTTTTGCTATTGTTCTTATTATTCTTGCCGTTACCATTATATTATTATAATACTGTAGTGATTTATGTTAGTTTCTACCTGGCCTCTGACTCCGATCATCTAGCTCTTACCGGTTGTTTCGGATTTACAGACGTAACATGCTTCCGCACTAAAAATAAATAAATAAAACATAGGTACCTAGGTGTATTATGTGCTCTGTCAAACGAATTTTGTTTACCAACAATACATTTAATATTTAATACGAACTGAATTATACATACATATATAATATATATATATATTTTTTTCTATACGTGTAGTGCATAATAATAAAATATTATGTTATTCGCTGTTTGCCCGTCACAGGTACACAATACACGTGATCCGGCCAAATGTGTATAATAAAAAATGTAAGGTTTTTAATTATGGTCCAGATAATGAGGCCGCGCACGAATATGTCTACTGCAGGTGATGGCCCTGCGAATAGTGAACGCAACGTATTCACATCACCAATTTTACGTGTATTGTACAGTAAATTGATACATGCATACATATATTTATATTTTAAATTCAATTTTGTTAATTTATAAAAACGTACAAATAGTGTATAATATCCAAAAAAATAAATAAAAAAAATAACCAAAAATCGTTGTAAAAGATTGTTTGAGTATGGTAAAAAAAAACATAATTGAAGATAACGATGATATATTGTGATATCTAAATTAAGTATTGATATGAATTAACGCATCGTAATAATAGTAATTTATTATTACTTTTGTCACGGTCTATTATCTATATAATATGTATTACTATACTATTGACAATAATTTATAGTAAAATTATATTTTCTAAATCATAATAAAAATAGCAAAAACAAGTAAATATATTCGAAACGATTTGTTTCGAATGCCAAACTAAAAGTATCATCGAATATCTCAAAAGCACAGAAATACTTAAATACACATAACTTAAAAATATAGTTAGTAATAAGTTTCCTTACTCTAAATACCAAACATTTTTCAAAAATATAAATATTCGTCAGAAAAAGTTAATGGCCGTTGTTGTCGAAGCTAAAATTAAATAAAAAAAATTAAAAAAATATGAAGTTTTTATATATATATATATATATATATATATATATATATATATCGCAGTCATTCATGAAAATAATGAATTGTGTGTAGTATTTAAAAAATATATTATAAAACGTAATTTACTAAGTTAAATTATTTAAATGTTGAACAAATTATTAATTACAAACAAATGATGGGCTTATTAAGAATTGTATAATACATCTTATAAAACAAAAAATAACATATTTTAATAAAACATATAGACTGTAGAATTTTAAAAAGTAATATAATATTTTTAAATTTTTTTTATTTAGTTTTCTTTTACAGTAAAAAGAACTATAAAAATAATAGAAAAATTATATCTTTCTGGATCTAATTTATCATTTGAAAATTTTTCGTATAAATTATTGGGTGTGCATTTATTGCCCTTAAGTTTCATAAAAAAAAAAAAAAAAATGAAAAAATTCTTTTATAATAGAGCTATAAAAAATATTAAAACATTGTATATGATTTTTTCACTTCTGTTAGAATAATGTAAATATTAAATTCAATATTAACAAAACTAATGCATAGCTGTATTGATTATATAGTTTGAAATTATTATCAGTATAAAGAAATTATCAATATTTCATACAAATTGAATAGAGGATAAACTAATAAAAAATGAGAGAACCTAAAAAAAATAAAACACGATAGCAAAATCGAGACTATATAGTCAGTATAATCTATGAATAGAAATATTTAACGAGTATATCTATCTAAGACAGCTTTGATAAGGGTATATTTCAATTTGACATGATAATAATTCATCAACGGAACTGTTGGCATTTGAACGTTACTTGTCACAACACTTTAGTTATCAATACATTGTCATTCATACCATTATAACTTATTTCTACCTATAACCATTGAATTTACTATTATATTTACTATTATATTCTATAAGCAATGTTAATCCTAAAATTGGGAATATCTAAGTATTAGATATCGTAAAATGTAGTTTACAATCAATTTCATAGTTTATAGACTTATTTTAATTAAATAATTCAATATACGGTTAAATCACTTAAAATATTTTTCTTAAAATTAACTTGTAACCTTCATAGAGTACCTATACCTATTATTATTATTATTATATTATACTCATAGTTTTACCTACATTATAATTAATTCATATATTTTATAAAATAAATATACAATTAAATTGTAATTAATTTATAATACATCGGTTTTACATTTTAAATTAATTTTAACTTTTAGGTGGATTATAACCATTAGTCAGAATTAATTATAACTCTTGTCCTGTTAGTTCTTCGATTTTCTCATTTTTAATTTTGTTCGATACAAAGACAATTTGATTTGAACAAGATGATTACATATTTTAACGATCGTTTTAATATTGAAGACTGGTTAACAATTGATCATTTTTTATAGAATTTTTACAAATATAATATATCATATTAACATAATACTACCTGAATTATCATACTTCGACCGAAAAATAGATGTTTCTCTTTATGTTTGGTTTGATTAAAAAAAAAAAATATAACCATCGTTTTCTTTGTCATTTTCACCCAATTATAGAACTGACAGCAAGTTTCTATTACTAGAATAGCTAATAACTATTTAGCTTTATATTTAGCTGCTCAACTATGGTCTAATAGGCAGTTTCAACATAAAACCCCGGTGGATGTGTTCTTTTTGCCGCGATGCGCCGTAAGGTATTGAAAAATAAACAATTATAAATAAATAATTACTCAATTATAAAATTGATATTAAGTCTAAAACCTGTTACCTGATGTACTATTTAATTAAAAAATAAATAAATCGAAATAATCAGATGAGTAGTATCAGATAACTTGTGTTATAAAGATTCCATTACCACATTTATGCAAATAAATTTATGACAATACAAAATATTGATGAAAAAAAGAGCCAGTTTTTGAATTTAAAAGTTAATAAATGGTTTTACAATGGATGTGTTTATTTTTTTTTTTTTTGTATAAGTGTACATGAATTGGACTAGAAGAATCTCACTGATTATCATAACCATAAAAGACTTCTACTAGGAAATATAGTCTTGTTAGTACACTAAAAGACATTTTACAAATTTCCAAATATATTTTTTAATAATCGTGAAAAATTAATAACAATTTTTAAACAAGCGACATACCGGTTTTCACAAAATCATATTTATGTTTCATTGTCATTCAAAAAATATTATTCGTAGAGGATTACATTTTGACTAAATTTAAATATCACAATATTCTCTTTATGGTGTGATTTTCAAAAGATTTGTTAACTATAGAAAATATACAATTTTATACTTCCATAGCTTTTTTTTTTCGAGGATAGTAACATTTTTATTTCACAAAAATAATTGAAAATTCAATACGAAATTTTTCATGCACATCTATAATTGATGGATGAAACCAAATTCAGTTTAATTTAAAAAAAAAAAACAAAATGGACAATTGAATATCAAATTTTGACTAAATTATAAAAATCTGCTACATTTTTTTTCAGTTAAAAATTAAATAAATCTTAACTTTTCATACTTAAAATTTAAAAATTGTATACAATATTTGTCATAAAAATTTCATTGGAAAGTCGCAAAAATGTTTTAAATGCGTTACAAAATTAAATGTTGACGAAATCAGGTATTTCAAGAAATTTTCATTAAACGATATTAGATACATACTAATTACTTATAATGCCTATACAAATAAGTATTAATTTTAACTATTCAAAGCATGTAATGAGTACTTATATTAGAATTTTAAAGACATTTCATTGTTTCGGAGTATTTCAAACAAATTTATACTGTTTATAACACATACAGTTTTCGATTTCCTCGAATTTAAGAGGAATTTTTTTTTTTTTTTATGTAAAAATTAGAACACTAGAAATTTAACTTCCCTTAATAATAAATTTTATTTTTCTATCATATGAACTATATTTTAGAAGTATAAACTAATCCATCTATTCTGTTTTTCTCAAAATGGTCTTTTGAGAGCAATTGTTCATTGTCTTCAAGTTTAGAATACCAATACAGCATTACCATTCACCCGTCGAACTAACCTATAAGTTTCGATCTTTTATAAAATTTAATCATCTACCTACCGATTTTCTGTATTTTAACCCAAAACCTAAATCTAATTGATTTTTCATTAATTTCAAAACATATGAAAATAAAGTAAAAATAATGCATGATGCTATATTTACATGAATCGCATATTATACTCGTATGTTATACAAGTATATGTTAATAACTATCTTTTTCAGTTCTATAGTTAAAAAAAAATCGATAGGAAATTAGAAAAAAAAAATAAGAACCTATGCGATAAATCTGAACGTAAATAGTCATACATTTAAAAGATATGTAAAAGTTGACCGATGAACTTATCTATAATTGTGAGTAATATTACACCAAATTTTTTTTTATGTTTACTAAGATTTAGTACATAAAGATTAAATTTTTTTAAATTTTTATAAGTTAATTTATATTTACTTGTTTGCTACTAGATTGGCTAGTATTATAAAATAATATAATATTTATTATGTGTTCACATTCAATCACATAAATATTTGAATGTTAATGACACTTAATATTTATTAGAATATTTTAATTTCGTTTATAAAATGATTAAATTAATATTTAATCAAAATCCTAATCAAAGTTACTACCATGATTAAGTATTAAAGGAATAAAATAATATTATTAATGTAATATTATTTTAACATATTAACTCTATTGTTATGCATACATTATTTCGGTACTTTCTATTATAATTTCTTAGAAATTTCAAAAACAATTATTCAAAAATTAGATGAAAAACTCAATTGGTAAACATCCATCTTATTTACTTTACAAAAGAAAGAAAAAATAATTAAAAACAATATAAAATCGTCATTCTGAAAAAATTGTAAATTATATTAGGGTGGTAAAATATCATAAAATATAAGTCGTAATATTTGTTTCAGTTTAGAATACTCTACATATTATTCTGCAC